TGGCTCCAGGCCTCTCTCCCAGCTCCTGGTGGCTCCAGGCATTCCTTGGCCTGCAGCTGCAGTGTCACATGGCGTCCTTCCTCTGGCTCCCTGTCTGTGTCTCTCCTCTTTTATAAGGACACCATCATATAGGGTTAGGGCCCACCTTACTCCAGTATGACCTCCTGTCACCCTAACTGATAACGCTTCAAAGACCTATTTCCAAACAGGGTGTAGGGGTTAGAACTTCAGCATATCTTTTTAGGGGACACAATTCAGTCCCTAACAGGGTATAGCCAACAAAAGACCTGGCGTTTGCTGGTATGAAACTGACAACTAGCCGCTCTTTAGTGCTGGTGGGTCACAGCTCATTCCTCGCCTCACCCCCGGGGCAGAGGGAGCTGAGGGCTTTCCCAGCCTGTTGGGCTGATGCTGTAAACAGTTTCCCTCCTCACTTCAGCTCTCCACCGCGGGTCCTCTGTAGGTGGTTAGCGGCAGTTAGATCTTAAACTGCCCTTTCCTAGTCTGGGCCTTGTTTTAAAAAACAGTCCTGGGCGCTGTCAGCACACCCTGGCCCAGCCGAGGCGCTGCCTGAGGATCAGACGTGCTATGACCGCGTTCTTCCTGATAAAACTAACGCAGTGTGGTTGGCTTGAATCACAGTGCTGGCCCGAAGAGCCGTGCAGGAGTACATCATCATGTCCATCAAAGAAGTGCTGCGCGTCCACTTCAACCGGGCCGTGGAGCTGAAGGTGAGTCCTGCGGCACGGGGGTCTGCGTGTTATATGAGTCCCTGCAGCAGGGAAGCCTGCATCTTATATGATGGGGGACGAGGAGGCCCGGGCTGTGCGCAGGTTAAATTAGAATGGCCGTTGAGTCCTTCTCTTTCTCCCTTACGTCCGTTTTCCTGGTTAACACCTACTCATTCCTTCCCTGCTCAAATGTCACTTCATCAGGAAAGCCTTTCCTGACGCAGTGAGGCCAGGCTTAGTCCACCAGCCAGGATGTGTTGAGAGAGTTGGACACAGAAGGGACTGGTCTGAGACCAAGAAGCCTGGGTGGTGTTCAGTGGTTTGCTCTTAGCTACTAAGCTAAAGGTTGGTGGTTCCAACCCACCCAGTGGTGCCACAGAAGAAAGTCCTGACGATCTGCTCCTGTAAAGATTACAGCCACAAAAACCCTAGGGAGCAGTTCTACTCTGTAACACATGGGGTCACCATGAGTCAGAATGAACACTACAGCAACAGTTTTTTCTTTGTTTAATCGAAGACCAGAGGTGGCAGAGTTTGGGGTGACGATTTTGCTTCCCTCGATTTACATGAAAGGATTAGAGGTTAAATTAGATTTTAGGGTGAGTACTGTATTTTTACACAGATAACGCATGTGTTGTGCCAAAACTATTTTACTTAATTTCTGTGTGTTATATGTGTGGGTGTGTTATTTACATGGGCATGTTATTTGCGAAAAAATGCGGTACATATGTATTTCTCTGTATATTCGGTGAGATGGAGGTGGACTTCAGATCTTGTATACTGGACCTCATGTTAGTGCCTCCTCTGCCTGGTGAGCTCAGGACAGCCACACTGTAGACCTGCGCTGCCCCACCATAAGAGCCACTGTGAGCCACGCAGGGCTACTGAGCAGGTAAAACGTGGCCCATCCAAATGAGATGTTCCATGAGTTTGAAATACGCACCAGGTTTCAAACTATAAAAAAAGGAATGTAAAGTATCTCATTAGCTTTTCTTCACTGATTACACGTTGAAGTGATGTTTCAAGTTAAATAAAATATATTTAAAATTAATTCTACCTGTTTCCTTTTACGTTTTTTAGTGTGGCTACTAGAAACTTTAAAATTGCGTATGTGGCTCCCATCGTATTTCTGTTGGACAGAGCCACTGGGTAGCGTGAATGCACCCTTCTATTTGGTTTAAGTATAACTCAAACCGAAACCCACTGCTGTCAAGTCGGTTCTGACCCATAGCAACCCCGTAGGGTTTCCAAGGCTGTAAATCTCTGGAAGCAGACTACCACATCTTTCTCCTGGGGAGCTGCTGGTGGTTTCGAACAACCCGCCTTTCGGTTAGCAGTCAATTACTTTAACCACTGCGCCACCAGGGCTCCTTTAAGTATAACGAGTGCTTTGAAGTCTCCATAACTCAGTATGAGTAATGTCTTACTCAGCTCCTATCATTGGCTCTTCTCCTTTCTCGCTGCCCTTGGTGGTGTCATTTTGTGCTTTTGAGAAACTTGGCAGGTGTAGAAAATTTCTGATTATCCATGAAGCACTGCCCCTTCGTTTAAAACGTCCTGCAGTTCTCCGTTTTTACCCAACACAGCATCTTTTAGGTTTGAATTATGGTCATCTCCAACTTGATGGTAATTATTATTCTTTATATTTTTATTTCCACAGGTTTATGAGATACTCCCTGACTTCACTTTCCTGGTGACGTCTGGCCCCTTCGTTTACACGGCAGTATCGGTCATCAACGTCCTCATCAGTAGTAAGCTTGTGCGCGACCAGACGCCTTTAATCCTGTCTGTGAAACCTTCCTTCTCTGTGCCAGACCCTAGGTTCCAAGTCCAAACAGGTGAGAATACATAGTCGTTTTCACTGGTAAATAGAATTTGATTTTTAATAGATTTAAAAACTTCTGTGGGTTAAAAAAAAACTATTATTTAACTTTTAAAAAGCTTTGTAACGATGGAAAATTTCAGACACGTACAAAGACACACAGAATAATGAATAATGAATAATAATAATAGAATGAATCCCCATGTACCTGTCACCTGGCTTCAACAATTATCAACTCCTAGCCGACCTTGTGTCATCCACACGCCCGCCTACCCGCTTCCCTTCCTCCCCTATTATTTTGAAGCAAATCTCAGGCATCATATTTCATCCATAAATATTTCAGCCAGTGCCTCTAAAAGATAAGGACTATTAAATCATATATATGTGTATACATGGGGAGCCCTGGTGGTGAAGTGGTTAAGAGCTCTGTTGCTAACCAAAAGGTCAGCAGTTCAAATCC